CAAAATCAACCTAAAATATGGTGTTCTGCGTTCACCGTCAAAGGAATTTACTGGGCGAATGATATGATCCAATTAAGCCACTAACATTTCTTCACACTAGTCTATATAGAACTAAAGTGTGGGTGTGTCACAATCATCCCACCTTACAAAAACGACGTCTTCGTCGTTATGACATGACAATTGGCACATTTCAGTATTACTGTCAGGCGATATGGACTCTAGAGATGCCTCCTACGGGCTCTAGAGGTGGCTCCCACCGTATCCATGCGGTGTAGCACTTAGCCCCGTATAGAACTTAACTTCACATTTGTCACAACCTCGGGTCCACATGCCCATTGGCTAAAAAATCCACTACCAAAATACTAGCACTAGTTATTTTTGGGTCTTAGGTTTTTCTTTATTTAAGTCACTAATATTTCTTCATTCTAATCTATGTGAAATTAAAGTTTGAGGGTGTCACATAAAGGATAAAGCAACCCACCAACGGAATGGTAGTGAGTGCAACACGCAAGCGGAAATTGTGAGAGCCATATTGCTCAAGTTTGGTCCAAGCGATGATCAAATTGTGGTCCAATTTTGTAAAATTAATGCCTCCTGATTTTGTTTAAATGTGCACATCAATCACGAATTTAATCAGATTGCCTTGTTTTTCACTCGAAGAGATTAATATCAGAATACAGGTGACCGTGCATATTGTGCTCGTGCAATAGGAGCTACATTGTGGAGTAGAAATTTTCACCATAAATTAGAATATATCGCACTACATGTGAGAATCTGCTGAGTATAAACTTTCACCATAAATTGCGAGCTGTAACTAGCTTTTTTTTTTCAAAATGGATTTTCTGCGATTCATTTTTTTTATTATCAAAAAACAAGGGATAAACCCTGTCATATGTATTAAAAAACAAGTTTTACAAAAACAGGATACGAAATGTATCCGAAAATTGGAAGATAGAAATACTAGTTTCTCGATACTAGTGATATATGACTTTCTTCTCTCTAACATCCGTGAAGGTGAAGAGAGGGCCTTGCCGTCATTCACCGTTGACACAGATATAAGAGAGAACAAATAACATCCGTGAAGGTGAAGAGAGGGCCTTGCCGTCATTCACCGTTGACACAGATATAAGAGAGAACAAAAGCCAGCCATATATTTGGTATCAAGATAAGAGAGAACAAAAGCCAGCCATATATTTGGTATCAAGAAACTAATATTTCTATAACCCAATCAAAACATAGAACAAAACTTGGAGTAAATCATATACAAAAACTAAAGAAAACATCCTGACACTTGCAGATTGGTCAAATGCTTCTGCCAATGGGGTCTTTCTCCAACATAGCTTTAATCAAAACATAGAACAAAACTTGGAGTAAATCATATACAAAAACTAAAGAAAACATCCTTACACTTGCAGATTGGTCAAATGCTTCTGCGATTCATGATGATTTTATATTTATTTTTGTTTTTGCTTGGAGTACTTTTCCGATCAATTTGGCCACAAAAGGTGCAAAAGTTGCCTAGATACAGAAATCTAGTACTTCAACGGATATTAGATAAAGATTCATTGACGAATATGGATTTAGCTAATATATTCCGTTGTCTACCTCTAATAAATTATTGTCATATATAACTCAGGCAACATCAACAAAGATTTCATCCATATTGTTGAGGCCAAAATTAAGTTCAATAACAAAGAAGAAAGCAGTTACAAAATGCAATGCAAGATCCAGAAAGGGTACAAATGCCCTACGTAGTAGCACTCATAAACTCCTACTAAAAGTAATTTTCATATAATCCTATAATTTCCTAAGTATAGTTAATTAACAAATAACAATAATTAATGCATACTTTACCCGAGTTGTGACTCATAAAGCTAGATTCTTTCTAAAAAAAATGGTTCACGGGATTCCATCATGAAAACTTCCACGAGGGAATAATTCTTTTTTTTCCTTTCAACTCACTCCCGTAAAGGGATAATGAAGATTCCAAATGGAAGAAAAAAGCCCCCACAAAGAATGACCAAGCCTCCAATAAATAACGGGAAAAGAAGTTAGTTTCTGTCTTTTTTGCATCTCTAAATCGAGCCTCAAGCTGTGTATATTATGACTATATATTAGTTTGGAAATTTACTCATCCGCTATAGTCTGAAAAGATTCAATTACATAAACTTTCATAACAAAAAGACTAATGATAACATCTAAGTTAAAAAGGTTGAAGTGTGAGAATTGAGTATTATACTTTAAAAGGGTTTGGATGTGATTTTGCCTCACATTTTTACATTTAACATCTGCATCCTAACATAGCAAAGGTTAAAACGTTACTTACACAAAGTTAAAAAACGGGTACAATACATCTATTCCTCTATAATAATGGGAAGATCCAAGATCCACTGTTCATACTACAGTAAATACTATAGTAAATCGCTATAACATTATTACTGTAGCACAAATAGGATGATCTTAAATTCACTATTCATGCTACAATAAATCAATGCAGCATTATTGATGTAGCACATGCGGACCCGTAGCGTTTAAAAATATTACTATAGCTCAAACAATATATTATAGCATTTAGAAACAGTAAAAATTATATTTAAATATAGAATTACTATAACAAAAATTAAAAAAAATAGAGGCTGTGCTTTCACGGGCTGCACTTCCAAAAATATGCGAAGTTATAAGATCCTGTTTGAAGACAAGGAGGATGTTGTTACGTCACGTGTAGATCTTCCAATATTTGAATAGAAAAGCAACATGACACATGGGTCACCTTCCTTTGTCTTTGTCACTGTTATCCAAGCCCAAGCTCAGAACACGTAGACTTTTATCGGATTAGAAAAGCTCAGAAACCTCCGAAAGAATTATAAGAATCCATGCACTTAATCAAGAGCAAAGCCCGGAGATCTCATGTGCCCTTAGCATGGTAGGGTCATGCGTATATCCTCTCAGTCAACCTCATCACATACAAAGTATTATTCAAAAAAAAAAAGTACTACCTAAGCTAGAAATAGAAGGCTGAA